ATTCAATGTTTCTTTGGAGGCAGCCTGGCTTCCCCTGGCCCCAGGGAAGAGTTGCCCTGTCCCAGACACTAGCTCCCGCGCGCTCCTCCTGGATCCTCAGTGCTGGGACCTTTCCGCCAGGTGCAGCAGGGCTGAACATGTTAAGGGCGTGGTGAGCGTCTACCCGCCCCAGCGTGGCTTCCAGTGTCGCACTCCTGGCCCGCCCCCTGCACACACAGACAGCGCTCACCAAGCACTCAGCCAGGTGTGGGATGGGAAGAAATTACAGGCAAGAGAAGAGAAGATAAAACGAACTCCCTCACCCCCCCCCCCCCGTGTTCACTGATTGGGGAAGTGAAAGCCCCTAGCCCTTTGCCATAGGGTGAGTCCCGACATTCGGGGCTTTGTCTTATATAGGACCCTATTACCCCCCAATCCCTGGTTTTCACACTTGCTATCTAGTCACCCTACTTTGCCACGGGGCAATACGCGGCACCGGGCAGCGGGTGCGGAGGCTGACGGCTGGAATAGAAGCGCACTGCTGCCACCTACGGGATAGAACAGACACGCTGGTCTCCAAATGACCCCTAGTGGGGCTGGGCCCTTAGCTTTCAATGTGCCGTGAAGCGGAGGGCATGCTGGTCTCCCTGCTGCTCCCTACCAGTTTCCGGCTGGCTGGTGCTGACCACGGGCTCTTTGTCCCAGGGTCACAAACTGAAACAACACAGGCACAGAGGCCGCACGGGGAAAGCATCATTTTGAAACAAGCAGCCACCTGTCCAGGTTGTGTTTGGAGGGTAACCGACTGAGATTAGCTGGTAGCACGGCCTGAAGCCAAACCCGGCAACGATGCAGTCACTCCTCTTTCTGTCGGCGGGGCTCTCAAATCAAGGCGCAGCATCTCCCGCTAATGATGCAATGCTCACCGACAGCGAGAGACGGGCCAGACACAGCGGTAATGTCACTGTCCAAAAACCCAGGGCAGCGGTCACGGGGAGACCCAGGGCATTAAAACACAGCGGAGTTACCCTGGGGAGGAGGGTAGGAAGAGTCTGAGCCAGAGTTACAAGAGATCACAGAAACAGTGCAGGCTGACCCGAGCACTACAACTACCTGGTCGCAACTGCTGTTTCTGTCTGCAGAACCGGGGGGCTCCCCAGGTGGGTGTGGGAAGGCCCCATGAGGCTACCCTGGCCATTCCCAATGCCGGAATGTTTGGTTGTTCTCTCAGTGCAAGATCCCAGCCCCCAGCCCGCCGAGCAGCCCTACTCCATTTCAGGAATGGAGCGGTGTTCTGATAGGCCAGCGACCTCTGTAATGAGCCCAAACCCCTAGATCTACGTCCCTCGGGCTGCTGGAAATACTGAGCCACGTCTGATGTTCACAGCTCCAGCTGTGAAGATACTTAGTCCTGCCATGAGTGCAGGGGACCGGATGAGATGACCTCTCGAGGTCCCTTATAGTCTTATGATTCTATCCACTCATGCTATCCTCCTGTTGTATGGTTTTTTCAATTTGCCTTCCCACCATGCTCTTCCAACGATGCCAGCCTGGACTTCCCTCTTCCATTCCCCTCTCCATGTTGTCCCCGAGGTAGAGAATGACCTCCCAGGCCTGGTTCACAAAAACGCCACCCTCTTCTTATTCAGGTCCCTGTTAATAACTCATTTCTTCTGCCATGCCCACCAGTTGCATGTTCATAATAACAGTAACGGTCACAAAAAGAAAAGAACCTGAAGTCACTTACGCTCTGGATTTCCTGGCGTAGCCTCTTTGGGCAGACATCCTTTTTATTTTTGTCTCATACAGCACTAAGCGTAGCGTTAGCCATCAAACAAACAAGGATAATGGTCACATTGCTCAAGTGATGCGACTTAGAAAATGGTGCTTGTGTAGAAGTGTCTGAGTTTACTGTGTCTAAGACAAATCCAGGCTCCCAGTGTCTGTCTGCAATACCCAGACGGGGGTGCGGGGCTAGATGACAGTAGGCTGGCTGGGTATGGGTGTGCATGCGCACACGTGGGTGCAAGAGAGTTCAAAATGAATGAGTGAGATGCTGTGGAAGGGATCAGAAATCACTCGGACCCCTGACAGAGCAGGCCTGTTTCTTTATTCAACGTGTATATTTAATTCACTTTGCAGTTGGGGAATGTGATTGTTTTCCCAAGGAACTTTTCTGCTAAATACCATGGGGAAAACATGGATCTGCGTGGAGTTCAGGGTGCCTGGACTGTGAGGATACATACCTGTGTGCCCATGTGTATACAGTCAGCCTTACAATGTTCAAAGTTCCTTAAATACCAGCAGGATTGAAAATTCAGCCCATGAATTGTTTCCTGCTTCCACTCCTTTGCTCTGTGTATGTATGTGTTTGTGCTCTGCTGGCAAGTTGCTTCCTTTTATATCTGCTTCCGCTGCTGGAGAGGGAGATCTGATCAATCCATCTATTTTAGGTATTGATATAAAGTTGCCCATCACCGTGGCAACCAGGCACAGAAATAAGACTACCTGTGTGTTGCGGAGCTTTCACATGGGGTCAGGTTTTCCCAAAGATTAGGAGCCCAGGAAGCTGCTTGCTTTGCTTTTGCTGATTGCTGCCCAGGCGTGTGCATGCAAACATGCACAGATGCACAGACACAGCACCCGACATTGACCTCGGCGGCCTCTCTTCCAGAATGTGGGCCATCGTCCAGCAAATCTACTTGCATGCCCAAGAACGGCAGTTATCACAGAATCATAGGACTGGACGGGACCTCGAGAGGTCATCTCGTCCAGTCCCCTGCACTCATAGCAGGACCAAGTATTATCTAGATCAGAGGTGGGCAAACTATGGCTTGCGGGACCCTCCTGCCCGGCCCTGAGCTCCTGGCCCAGGAGGCTAGCCCCCCGCCCCTCCCCTGCTGTTCCCCCTCCCCCGCAGCCGCAGCTCACCGCACCGCCAGCGTGCGCAATGCTGTGGGCAGCGAGCTCCTGGGCAGTGCAGCTGCACAGCCCGGCCTGTCTGTGCCGCCAGCCGCCAGTGCTCCAGGCAGCGCGGTAAGGGGGCAGGGAGCGTTGAATAGAGGGCAGGGGAGTTTGGGGTGGTGGTCAGGGGGTGGGAGTGTGGATAGGGGTCATCAGTCAGAGGGCGGGGAACAGGGGGGTTGATTGGGGGCAGTCAGGGGACAGGGTGTGTGGATGGGGTAGGGGTCCCGGTGGGGCCGTCAGGGAACAGGGGGGGTTGGATGGGGCAATAGTCTGTGGGGGGCGGGGGCGTCACGGGGCGAGAAGTGGGGGGAGGAGATAGGGGGCAGGGGCCAGGCCATGCTTGGCTGTTTGGGGAGGCACAGCCTCCCCTAACCGGCCCTCCATACAATTTCTGAAACCTGAATGTGGCCCTCAGGCCAAAAAGTTTGTCTGCCCCTGATCTAGACCATCCCTTACAGGTGTTTGTCTACCCTGCTCTTAAAAATCTCCAATGATGGAGATTCCACAATCTCTCTAGGCAAGTTATTCCAGTGCTTAACCACTCTGACAGTTAGGAAGTTTTTCCTAATGTCCAACCTAAACCTCCCTTGCTGCAATTTAAGCCCATTGCTTCTTGTCCTGTCCTCAGAGGTTAAGAAGAACAATTCTTCTCCCTCCTCCTTGTAACACCCTTTTACGTACTTGAAATCTTTTATGCACTTATCTCCCCCATGAACTCCATCACTCACGCTCTCTGTCTGGAAAACCATTCTGTTCTCAAGAAGGAATTGCATTCTGAACTCTCCCTGGGCTGCCACCACCCACCCTGCACTCCTTTAGCTGAAAAGTTTTCACACTCTTCCTCTCCGCACCTTCCATTGCAGCTTATTGCACCCAGCTCAGAGGTGTTTTTCTAACTTCACAGAGCTCTAGCTTGTTTTGTTAGCTCTTTATCCACACACTGAAGCTGCAATTTTATGCTTCTCTCTTTCAGATGCTGGCTTGGCCACGGTCTGTTTTGGAGCAGCTTAGAAACCCACTCTCTCTGAGCCTGTGCTTTGAGGAAAGAACTGCCCCCTCCGCCAGAGGCTTTCTGGGGGGCTGAAGGCTAAATTTAGAATGAGAAAAAGCCAGTGGACAGGGAATGGAGCCGGGGCATTTGTCCACAGAATTTCAGTGCTTTGGTTTTTATTTAGCTTTGATCTTCAGTTTAAAAGCTTCATTGGGTTTTTATAAATTACAGTGTGGGAAGAAAGAGAGGCAACAGGGAACTGACTCCCTGCATGAACCAAGGCACCTCAATTTCATCTCTGTAAAACGAGGATCACGGTGAGGAAATACTGACGTCTCTTGGGATGACTAAGGGCATGTTGCTGGCTGCTGACTGCTAGGTCCTGACGCACTTCAGAGCAACATGTGGGCTGTTCAGGTGGTGTCTGCCCAGCAGCTTGTTAATAAACTCAGTTTCCGCAGCTGTGAGAAGTCCTGCTGAGATCTTCAGGCTGCACAGAGTGAAGCTGAATACCAATAAATAAATAAATAAATAAATACAACCCAGTCAGCCTTGTTGCCTTGGGGAGTGCTAGAGAGGTGGCAGGAGCCAATATCAGCTGCATTTCTGAAAAGGTCAAAAGTAAGCAGAGAAGGAATTTCAGATTGCAGATTGTTTTTGCCAGCAACTAAGCAGAAAAGCCACTCTCTACAAATGGAGGCTGGCGGTTTTCTTCCAATCAACCCGCTGCAGGTGATCAAACACAAATAGAAATTAACTGAGCCCCTGGGGTGGGATCAGGACCCAACCAACGTTTGAGAAAGAGGGGAGCCTGGATGTGGTGTTTTGGTTTGGACCAGCATCCAAATTTCCCCGCATTGGCAGAGCAGTGTTTGATCTGAGCCTTGAGTTGCCTCCAGAGCAGCATCAGACCTTCGACTCCAAGCTGAAGGATGATAAACGCCTCTTGGTGACAGCAGAGTAACACAGAAATCACTGGAGTCACCCTGGAGGAACTGAGAGCAGAATTTGGCCTCTGAGATCGAAGCACCATCTGGCAAAGCAATTAACCAAACCAAAGCTGTTCAATGTAAGAACCAGTTTTTATTCCTGATCTCTGTGTCAGGTATAAAAAGAAGCATTCCAGCTATTGTCCAACTCTTAATCCAACACCCTGCTGAAACCAAAACCAAATTAACAAACCCTACACACAACATTCAAAGCCCAGGAAAAGGATTGGGTACCACAAAGCAAGAGAGAAAACTCGCAGACACCTTGCTTCTCATCACATTCTCTTAAGTACATTCAGCCAAGACCATGATTGCCATTACATCACGTGCAGCATTGCTTAGGAGACAGCAAGAGTAGGGCCATGCGGCAGGACAAAGGTCACATGAGAGATGCACTCCCTACATCTGGCTCTCTCAGTGTGAACCTCTCTTGTCCCTGTGATGTTGGACTCAAACTGCAGCAGGAGGCCTCCTCCATTCACTTACAGAGTGGGAAATGGCATTCAAATAGGAAAGCCCAAGAGGTCTCCCCGTAACTTTTATTCTTTTAGGATATGCCCCATCTCCCTTGGAAGTCAATGGCAGAACTCCCCAGTGACTTCCATGGGTGCAGGGATGGGCAGTTAGTTCCCTTGTCTAGTTTGAAATACCGTAGCAGGCTGGGAGGTGCCACACTTGGCACAACTTACTGCAGAAGCACTGGGGTTTTGGCCCTTTGCTGCCAGTGCCGTTGACTCCTTGACTTCTGCCTCTTCCTCCTGATAGACCAGACACTGATGAGGAAGAGGAAAATGCGGTTAGACTTGGGTAAAAGCCTTTTGCTGGCCAATCACACCAAAGGACACAGCTTTCCTTCAAAAGTCCTGCAGGACTCAGTGACTCTTGCAAAACCGGTGTCCTCATTAAAACACCACGTTGGAAGAACCAAACTGGCCCGCGCCAGAAAAGCATGTAGCAAAGCTGTTGGCGAGCGTAACAGGATCTGGGTGCCTGGGAGAGCCCCCTGTGCAGATCTAATCCCCCTTCTTGGTGGCATGCGCGACAAGGCCGATTAATGAAGGTGGCTAGCCTCCCAGGGGGCTCTGCTGTCCTCTCTTAAGCTGCCCTATTGCTGATATGGAATCCTAGGGAGATTTAGGGGAGACAACTTAGGGAAACCACTGTGGACGCTTGAAATGGATAGTTATTGTGGAAGACGAAGGTGCTGTGCAAGGATTGCCGGAGAGCTAATTAGAAGCATTTCTTCATGGCTGGCTAGCCAGGCTGGTGTTCCCAGGGCGCTGCACGTCACCGGGAGGTGAGCAAGCCCAGCGTACCATCCAGTCACTGGGTGCTGGGGCTGGGAGCTCTGCCGAACCCCTTTCTGAGAGGGATGCGCTTAGTGGCCTCTGCAGAAGAGTGAGGGGCTGGGAAGCATGAAGGAACCGTATGTCTACACTGCACACGACACCTGGGCTGTGACCCAGGGCCAGGCCCAGGCCCCCTGAGTCCGACTTGGGTCAGCAAGAACCTAGGACCCGGAGCCTACCACCCTGCTCAGGGGGTGGGTCAGAGCTTGAGTCCCATCGTGACTCACGTCCAGGTCCAATCATTTTGCAGTGTGGATGCAGCACAAGCCCAAGACCTGAGTCCGAGGTCTGCGTAGCGCCATACGGATGCATTGGCACGGCTGTGACCCGCAGGTCCAGCAATTGTAAGCCCAAGTTTACCATGCAGTGAGGATGCTCAAGCACGGGCTTGGAAACACTGAGTCCACAAGCGCTGGTTCCAGAGATGTCTGCGGTGCAGACATACCCTGGAAGGACCCTGTCTTATTTGGACAGCGTGTGGTTATGTGCCAGGCCTTGAGGACAATGTGGGTAAGAGCATAAAAGGGTGGGAGCTGGGGAGAGCCAGATCCACCTGGAGAAAAGATCCCTGCAGTCTGGAACACCCTAGTCTCTGCGCCGCGTGCACCCATGGTCCAGCCATTAGCAATTAGGGGATTAGACTTGGGCAGGGTCTTGCCTCCTCCCACCCTAAAGCAGAATGCTAGAGTTGGGCCTGAGCGGCACAGCTTGGTCTGTGCACCCAACCCCGAGGGGTTCCCTGGGCTGCCTGACACAGGGGCTCAGCTCCAGTGACGAAGGGCCACCCGGGAGCCGGGGGAAAACCCGTAGGGGTCCCCAGAGCAGGTGGGATGGCACCAGGCCCCCATGCAGATGGAGTGATCTGCAGGGCTTGGGAGCTGAGCTCTTGGATTCTCCCATGGAGTTGGAGGGGAGAGGAGAGTTTCAGATGGATGGAAACAGAACGACTAATACCAGCCTTGCCAAACTCAGACATTAACACCCATGAACCTGTCCCCCTCTAACATCATGAGATCAACTTAAAAGTCATGAGATTTTGTTTAAATCATAAATTTGGGATCTTTCTATTTGCCTTCTGCTTTTTTAACCTTTAGGGGACACTCCGGTCATCTTTTCAACATTTTCAAGGCAACCCTGAAGGCTAGAAACTCAGGGGAATTCTCACACCATCACTTGCCTCTAGGAGCAGGGACTTAAATAAATGCATAAGAACGGCCATAGTGGGTCAGACCAAAGGTCCATTTAGCACAGGAGCTTGTCTTCTGACAGTGGCCAATGCCAGGTGCCCCAGAGGGAATGAACAGAACAGGTCATCATCAAGTGATCCATCCCCTGTTGCCCATTCCCAGCTTCTGGCAAACTGAGGCTAGGGACACCATCCCTGCCCACAAACTATCATGATACTTGTGATAAAACTGCAATGGTTGGCAGCACTGTAAGACCCCTGAGCAAGATGGGTTCTCAGCCAGCCATGCACGCGCCTCGTGCAGTTAATGGAGCTGCACACGGAGGGCAGGATTGGGCCCAACATTTGGAGCAGTTGTTGGTACAGTATGTTGAAATTTCTGGTTTTCGCTTAGTACCGAACATGATCATACCCCACCACCAATGCTCTGCATGGGGCACACCTCTCCTAAAACCCCAAAGTGGCACCACGCACCCCTCCAGTGCCCATCTGGACAAAAGGGTGCAGAGAAGTTAATGGGACTGGCTCACAGCCACACAGCGAGCTGGTGACAGCCTCAGGAATAGAACCCAGGAGTCCTGGCTCCCATCCCCCAACTCCGGCAGACGGGGGTTCAAGAGGGGCATGCAAGGGAGGGGTTATAGTGCTCCAGAAGGGTCACTCCATCTCTTCCATACAGGCAGGGAGAGAGAGACCTGCCTGCAGAGGAGACCGGCCATGCATGCAGCTGGGGAGCCCCTCTGGCCCAACAGCTCATTGGCCATTTTACCTGCACTGTGCTGAGGAGCATTGCTAGATCTCAGCTGACACCACGAATGTGGGCTCTCAGCCAGCTGACCCAGGAGAGCCCTTACTATGGTCACTGAGCACCCCCTGCACCCCGAGTCCTTGCTGGAGCCCGGTTCCCCATTCTGGGCTTTGAATGCCTGGGCGCTGTGACTCAGCAGTGGCACCCAGCTTCCATGCTCAGATTTTCCGTCCTGAGCTGCAGGGGTACGGAGTCCACTGCGGAGACCAAAATGCCCTGTACTGGATCTCTAAGCCATGGCAGTCATCGGCTGCTCTGGGGGGGCTGCCGTCCCCCGAGGATGACCTGAGACAGCGGCAGGTGGCTGTGGGGGGCCGAGAGGGGGCCGAGCCCCCCACAAAGATTCTGTTGAAGCTGCTAATATTAATATGACTAAGTAAACCAGGCAATTGAAGCAAATCAGCCTGGGACCTGCAAGAAGCTCCAGCCATCCTGCTCTGTGCATTATTAATAAGAGCCTGGGGCCTGCAGTACTTCCGACTAGAGACACACATCCCGGCCCCACACAGCTTCCCTTCTTGATCCTAATCAACCCCTGCAGCCCTCTCCCCACCCACACACACACATGAGTTCCTGTCAAAATCCCAAGTCCCAAGCCTCAGTCCATTTCCTGCCAGGCAGGCCGGCCAATGTACTTGAGCTGGGGTTAGCCAAGAATAGAACAGAATTAACAAATTAACATAAAAATACTACGTTTTGATTAAAATTGCATGGACAATATCCCCAAAGAGCTTACAGCTTCCAAGCCCTTTCCCTCCACAAGACCCTTCATCCTCCGCTTGGCCTTGCGCAGGGCAGCAGTGCCGTGACTGACGCAAAGAGACGCAGAAGCACAGACAGATCTGACTGTTCACATGCTGAAGGCCTCAGGGAAGATGCAGGGCTTGGAGATCTTCCATGTCTTTTTGGAGGGAGCTCACCTGTTCAGTAGGGTAGGGTCAGGGCCCAATTTTCCTCTCATGGAACTTATCTGAAGGTTTTATATTGCTGCCCATCACCATAGTATCTGAGCACTTTCCATTGGGCTGCAATGGAGCTATTCCTGATTTACACCAGTGTGAGAAGAGAATCAGGCCCTTTGACTGGCGTTCCTCTTTAACAGCCCTGCAGAGCGTCACAGAAATTAGAGGTTGTAAAGGAGCTGTCGGATCGTCTAATCCATCTGCTGGCCAACACAGGATTGCTCCTTGCTGCACATTGCAAGAGGTTTGGTGAACATTCATAGAATGACTATGAGCATACAAAGCAGTCCACTTTTCATGGCTTCATTGCATTGTGAGGAATGGATTTTCCCCCAGCCGCAGGGGGGAAAAGGTGGATTCTATGGCACATAGATGTAAAACTGAAAATTGGCTGGGATTTTGGGGACATTAATGTGCCTCACTCCTACCGGACCCATCACTGGGTTAGTCCCCTTTCTGACCGATGGCTAGTAGGTATGGAGTAATGGGGACTTCAAACACACCACACTGCTAGACCTCCATGTTCACAGGCCCTGATACTGCACCTCTAAAGATTTATACGATCTGAAGAGAAACCAGAGTGAGTCAATGGGAGCTTTATCATTGACTTCAGTGAGTGCAAAACACTAGCTCTGTAAGTGATCACAGTCGTTACTAGGACTGGGCAAATAATTCATAACAAATAATTAATTCCACATCTTTTTCTCATTGCAAATTGTCCACAAACAGATTGTGATTTTCCCAAGCTTATTTGTTAATCAGAATTAGTCACTGAATTTCCACTAATAATTCTTTGTCTCTAGCGCCCCCTGAGCAGTTAACAGAGAGTACTAGTGATCGAGTGGTTTTGATTGGGCACAGGTCACATGGTATGTTTCTGGTCCCTGACTGGATAAATGAAAGGTCAAGTTTCTGGTGTAAATAGGAGTCTGAAACTCATGATCTCTGAATAATCAACAACATTTTGCTGAAATTCCCAAACATTCCTGCCAGTAAACTCATTTGCTAGACTATCCACGGGGAGCAGACACAAAAGGGGCACATGCAGCCAAAGCAAATTCATTTAAACATTTTAACAAGCGGAAACTAAAATTGCAGTATTTGCCCAGCTGTTGCAATGCTATAGTCTGCAGTGATCTTTCTGCTCTGGGGAGAGTGCAGGAGTGGCAGATGGGTGTTGGGTATTTGCACACATTCTCAGCTGCAAGCTGCACCTCTGTGATACCCTTGATATTGCCAGCTGCAGTGCTGTGATGGCTTGCAGGGTGCACCTCTGCGGTGTAGGCACCATATTGGGCTAAAACATCAAAACCTGGTTTAATTTTTCCAATTCCTTACACATGAGACTCTCCAGCTCCCTTCCAGTGACACTTAAATGGTCTCTGTTATGTTCATAACATACACAGAGAGAAATTAGATAAAAAACATAATATACTCTTGCTGGAACACTACTTTATTTAGAACCTAACACACAAAAGTAATGGTCTCAAGTTGCAGTGGGGGATGTTTAGGGTGGATATTAGGAAAAACTTTTTCACTAGGAGGGTGGTGAAGCACTGGAATGGGTTACCTAGGGAGGTGGTGGAATCTCCTTCCTTAGAGGTTTTTAAGATCAGGCTTGACAAAGCCCTGGCTGGGATAATTTAGATGGGGATTCATGGAGGTTAAGTCCATTAATGGCTATTAGTCAGGATGGGTAAGGAATGGTGTCCCTAGCCTCTGTTTGTCAGAGAGTGGAGAAGGATGGCAGGAGAGAGATCACTTGATCATTACCTGTTAGGTTCACTCCCCCTGGGGCACCTGGCATTGGCCACTGTCAGCAGACAGGATACTGGGCTGGATGGACCTTTGGTCTGACCCAGTAAGGCCATTCTTATGTTCTTATGGGATTGGTCCTGCTTTGAGCAGAGGATTGGACTAGATGACCTCCTGAGGTCCCTTCCAACCCTGATATTCTATGATATTCTAAGAACCAAAAGCAGAAAGAGACAAAGCAGGCTGCTCCCTATGGCAAGGCACAACTCAACCCATCTTGCTTTAGCCTGGCTCTTTGCAGACTGACTCTGAAGAGTGAAGATCCAGATCACACGCTTCCCTACAGAGCCCCCTAGCCTGCAAGCAAGACCAAGAAGCCCCCTCAGAATTTAGAGTGATTGTTTATAATTTTAACACAGTTTTCAATGCATCACATTCTCCTCTTTAGTGACACTCAGGGGATCATGTCCGTGCCAGCTCCCTGCCAACTAGCAGCCCGCACTGTTGGATGTGTTAATCAGTGGGTGCAGCACTGGGTTCTCCTACTCTGCTTACCACAACACATTAACTTTGGAAATGCAGCTTCCACTCAAGTTGGCGGCCTTTCATTTCCCATGTGTTGTTAGCTGTACTGAACTGTTAAACTATGAGCAAACATAAACCCCACACTCCCACAGGGGCAAAGATTACAGGCTCCTTGATTCTCCTTTCTGTAGCATTTCTGTGGAATTGTTTTGGATTTTAAACAGTCAAAAATTAAAAGGACAAGTCTTTCTTTTGAGATGCCCACAGCCACCCCTGCCCATCACACGGGGCACTCTGAGACAGTTGTAAGTCCCTCCCGCCTGCATCTCCCTCCGCGTGACACTTCTGAAGTGTGCTGCTTTTCTGGATGTCATCTATACAGGTGCCCTCTGCATCACTACAGACTCAACAGGCTGGTCCAGTCTATTTTTAAGCTGCAGACGTTCTGAGTATTTTGTGCTGGGCTGTTTAAAAGAAAAAATAGCCTCTTAGCAAACTCTGATTGCATTGAGTCAACAGGGCTCAAGTGCAAGTCCATTTGCTTTGCACAGAGACAGGGCCAGAGCTGGGTGAATGAGGCATAAGCGATATCTAGGTATAAATCCCACAAATTTCCTTTGAAGGTACTCACACCTTATTTTAGCCCTTTGTGGGATGATGTGTGCAAGCCTATTTCATTCCCAAGGATGTTCATGGAAAGAGTAATTGTGGATACGCCTATGAAGGAGTACTTTCCGTAGCATTTGGATCAGGAGAGTTCACGCAACCAGCTTGAAAGCTACGCATGAGCAGGGAAACTAGAAAACCATCTGCCATGGAAAAATGTGGAATTTGCATTTTTACAGAGAATCTTTAGTTTTTATATTTTGTGAACAAATAAAAACATAAACAGTGGAACCCCGATTATCTCATCTAATTGGAACAGGAGCCAGACCGGATAATCAAAAATTCAGATAATCAGGAGAATGGGCAGGGCCCGGCCCTGTCGGCTTAAAAATTGTAAATATATCAATAAAATATTGTGTTTAACTGATAGCTCTATATATTGTGGCTAGGGAAACTAAAGTTCAACTTTTCATTTTAATCGCAGAAAAATGTGGATTTTTATGGTTTTTTTCATCAGAGAATTTTGTTTTGTTTTTCAATCACCAAAAACTAGGATACCTGCTCATGAGTCATCCAATCAGGATGCAGCAAGAATACCATGTGACTTAAGTGACTAATCACACAGATATTGCTATGTGAATACTCAAAGTAATTGTTTCTGACTGATTCATATGTTTGAAGACTAGAAGAGGCTATTATAGTACAGTCATCCAGTCTGCCCTCTTGCATAACACAGACCACAATATTTCACCCATCTAGTTTAATAACTTGTGCTTAAACTAGAGCATCTTGTTTAGAAAGGCATCCAATTCTGATTTAAATACTTCAAAAGACAGAGAACTTACCACAGCCCTTGGTAAGCCATTTCAGAAGTCAATTACCCTTGCTATTAACATTTTTCATTTTGTTTCCAGTTTTAATTTTATCTACCTTCTGCTTCCAACTATTGGTTCTTGCTCTGCGTAACCTGAAATGTTTACAAAATCACCTGCTGAGTAATATCAAATAATGGGAAAATCCATACAAAAAAGCAAAGCCTATTCCTTTGTTAACCGAAAAAACAGCTAGATTCATAGGATAAATTTTTCACTGCAAATAGTTTGCCCAGCTCTAGATAAGACAATGGGCAGATAAGACGAGCCTTGTTTGGTTTTTGTTTCTGGCCTGAGAAATTTGAGGGTGTACAGCAAATGTGGGTGGAGAAGCCCTGGGCCCAGATACTTAGGACTGATGACACTTCTGACTGCTTTCTGGGTGCATAGGTTTGCCCTATTCACCGAAAGTTACAAAAGAATGGAAAGTCTGAGACATACCAGAGAGAGACCCCGCAGATGAAAATTCCAGGGTTTGTTTCACAGTTTCTTACCTGCCTGCTAGTTTGTGAAATGTGATATATCAGCCAACTGTTGCAGAAGCAATGCCTGCCTTACCAGGGTGGGGTGTCCAAGGAGGGGGCCAGATGTGATGGTAAAGGAGTGCTGCTGGTACTAATCATGTCACGGAGGCCAGAAAGGCGCCTGCATTTCATGAGCCAGGGCAAGCAGCAGCAATGCCAGGATGCTCCTGGATAGCAGTTCAGGCTTCAGACCTGGATTATTGTGTGCGGTGGAGAATCAGAATTCAGAACAGAACCCTGGGTGAAAGCTCGAAATGCAAATGAACCAGGGGAAAAAAATATAAACAAACATGGAGGTTTTATAAGGAGTTCTCTAGATGAAGGGTATGAGAGGACACAAAAGCAATGGAATATTGCATCAAAGAACTCTTGATTCTCAGCCCTTAAGCCAGTCTCCTGCCCAGTCCTGCCACCACATCCTGTTGCACCAAACTACCCCGGAGGCTCCACCGCATTATAAATACAGCCAGTGTGAGCTTCATGAACTGTTAGGAGCTTGCCGTTTTGTAGGCTGACAGTCAGGCAAGGCCTTTGGCCACGGCATAGTTTCCCTCAGCCAACATTTCTGAGCTTTACAAAGAGGACTGCCTGTTCTCCCTCGGCTCTGACTGCATCGGCAGTGCAGAAACCAGTCACAGAGGTGGGTGGAGCCAAAGCAGACCAACTAATCAGGGTTCCTCCATATTCCCATAAATGAGGACAAGGCCAGCCCAATGAATGTTTCCTGGTGCTGCTTCTCAGAGGTCACAGTGACCTTATCGAGTGTGTGGATCCTGCATGTTCTCTTTTATGGGTAAGCGTTCTGGCTTCAGTGACTCAGCTCTTTAATTCACAAAGCGAAGCCAATCTCCGGGGGTTTGGCTCTGCCGTTAGTTTTTCTGGCTTGTCCAGTCATCTTATTTGCTGCTGCTAACGTTATCTCCTAGGACACTGGAAGACAGCCCAGTCTGAAGAGAGAACTAAAGCTTCCCCAGTAAGCTCTGAGGCATTGACACTAGCAGAGTCTGGGGACATCTGCAGCCTCCGCTGGGCCCAGAGGCCCTCCTGGTTAAAGCATGTCATTGGGGCACATGTGGTTTCACGGTGCATGGTTTTGATTAGTCCCAAGAATGACCATGTCATTAGTCCTAAGAATGACCTTAAAATGAACTGTCTCCAGCTACCACATTCATCTTGAGGTCTTTCCCCCTGTGATTGACTGGATCCCAGAGGGGAGCATGTCACATGTCCTGGTGACCATTTTCCTAGTTTGCCTCTAATTGTCAGCCATGTCTGCTGGAGAAAATGTCTGATCTCTGCACAGGAAAATATTAATAAAAGAGAGACCGAGAGAGAGAGAGAGAGAAGGGAGGGAGAGAAGACCCATGAGTGGTTTGGAAACTGTCTCTTTATATTCCAAGCATGCGATTCAGGTTTTCATATCTGTGGTCCACAGTCCATCCCAGAGGTGCTCGGTTCACAGTGTTGGAACAATCTGCCGAACAGACGGCTCGGCTAGGAGACGTTTCCAAAAGAAGCTGGAATAAGGAGGAAAGAGAGAAGAGGATGAACGCCAAGCCTGCAGTGCAATAGCTTAGGTCTTGTCTACACCTGAAACTCTACTGCGGAATGGCTACAGCAGCACCACTATCGTGCTCCTGTGTAAACACCACCTATGCCAAGAGCCCGTCGGAGTAGGTAATCCACCCCCTCAGAGGCAGTAGCTAGATCAACGGAAGAATTCTTCTACCCCATCTACACCATGGGTTAGGTCGGCTTAACTATGATTTTTCACACCCCTGAGCGATGTTGCTGGGCTGACCTAATTTTTGAGTGCAGACCAGGCCTTAGAGAGCGTGCCCACTGCAAAGCACAGAGAACTTCGCTGCCTCTTTACAGCTGTCACAAATGCCGTGCTGCACCCCAGAGAGCCAGCTGTCCCTCAGTGCTAATGGAAGGGGCCCTTGGCTTAGACTCAGCTTTGCTATGACTTACGTCGGGAATATGGCCCTAAAGGAAGCAGCGTCAGAGAATTCAGTCCTGTATTGTTCCAAGTTTCCTCCTCTATTCCCTTGCAGTCCTCATTTTGGGCTTGAGCCTTGAGAAATCCTGGGAGAGCAGGCTAAGGCACCATGGAGGGTCCCCGGCTGTGGCTTGGGTCTAAGACAGTGTTGCAAAAGGAACAATGGCATTGCCTGTGTCAGCGGAAGGAGCTGACTGATGCTCTCTGCTAATCTCCAAGAAAGCAGAAGCTCCACAGTGTAGCTGAGCCCTGTTCTGTAGTGACGATGCCAAGGGCAGAAGAATGGTTCTCATGCCTGGGATCCTAGGTAGTACTTAATGGGGGTTGCTTTTGGGAGGAGGTCACCTATCCCCAGGGAACTGACATCATCAAACCGATTGCATGCAGGCCACCACATAGCCATTGGCCACAACAACTGTCAGTCAGAGCCGACCCGGGCTGGATTCGAACTGGTGACCTACAGACGAAACATGCCACAATCCATTACCTAGCCCAAGCCATCTGACCCTTTTCCCCTTTCAGGCCCCAAGAATGTTGGCATTTACCCAATGACGGCAGAGCAAGGCACGTACCACTGCAGTCACCAAAGGATTCATGGCTGCTGCTTCACAGCCCCTCCTCGCCCTCCCAAGTACCTTGGCTGAGCAGCTGTAGGTTCCGGACCTCCTCCCGCACCTGGAGTTGCAGGACTTGCTGGAGGACCTCCTGCCGCTGAGACTCGTGAATAATGCCCATACGCTGCAGCTTCTCTGCGTTCAGCCGCAACAGTGCCCGACCTGCCGAACGCAAGCGAAGAGACAGCGCTCATTCAGAGTGACGGAGCAAGATAGCTCTGACTCGCGTCAGCGGTGAAATGGTGAGTGCTTAGGAAAGCCAGGCGCTGGGAACACCAGCCAGATTCCATAGGCAGGCGCTGGGTTAACCACTGTTGGAGTTGGTGGGTGTAGCAGCTGCCAGGATGGATGTAAAAAAAGCCACTAAACTCCTTCCTATAACCAGATAGCTGAAACAATAGGAGCCACCACCAAAAACAGGCATTTGGCAAGGCTTGAGTAAAAATTGAAGTCTGAGGCCCAAGGGGTTTCCCTGGGAACTGTCATGGCAAACACAGGGGCTGGGGCATTGATTGGTGGAGCTGTGGGTGTCTGGGTGTCTCAGAGACACAGGAAGTAGACCAGAGAAGCAGGGTGAGAAGCAGCAGAAAGCCAAGGACGCTGTCAGAAAAAGCACTAGCAACGTGGCCCTGAGAAAAGCTAAGAGAGAGCTTTTGGGCTAAGCGGTGGCTGGAAAAGGGGCTCAGAACAAAGACGCCATCTCTTGTTATTTGATTCCTGCTGGTTTAGGGAAACAGGACTTTGTACATTCTATGCAAATCAACAGGACTGCATCAGAGAATCACCTGATTCCATCACCAATTTCTCCTCCTAACTGGAACAGCCCACAAGACCTTGAATTTTTGGCTAACCACTTGGGTCAAAAGGTGCATGCTTCCAACAGGCAGCCATCAGGAAGAGTCCTAGCACAGTGAGGCCAGGTACCCAAACAGGCTTCAAAAGTGCCCCATGAGTAACGGCCACATGATCAAGCTGAAAACATCAAACATCCACACATATAACCTGGCATTTGTATCTGCTAATGGGGAGGGGCATGTTGAAAATTCATCCCCCAAATGCAGAACAAATAAGAACCTGAATTCCGTTCATCAGAAAGGCAAGAAGGGCAGAGGGGAAGAAATGGTGACAAATGCAGCCCCCTCCAGCAGTGATCACCTAACACAGCTACGCAACAGCCTCAGCAGCAACCCTACAATACAAAAGAATTATACCAGAGATGCACACATGTAGTGTTAGCTGCTGCCTTATCATGTTCTTAGGCTGAATCGTAATGCACCTCCAGTACGACTGTTCGGAAATTGAATTGTATATTGATGACTCTTCCCAGCTCCCTTCATGGGGAGAGTCTCAGTCCGGCACTGACAAGATTTATGTCTCTGTCAAAATGACTTCTGTGGCCGGCAGTAAGTGCTCTATTGCTCAGAGCCTCGTGCAAGGAGTACAGGAGCCTGGGCTGTACCTAGGGCCTATTCCAGGTGGTCATGGAAAGTAAAATCAGGAACGGGGGGAGGTGTTTTTCTGCAAATAAAGCCATGCTGGCACGCTTGTTCCCAGCAGGGGGTTTACTGTTGAATGCACAACTGCCAGTGTGTACTGCCACTCAGTGTAAACATTCCATTTGTGGGTTCAGTGAGCCTGCCCTAGAGGGTAACCCGCGGGGCTCTCCCACGACACAGCTGCAAGGGCTGTGCGAGTACTCACACAAGGCTAGGACCATCTTCTGTCTCAGCAAAAGATCTAGTCACTCACCCTGCTTGTTAAGGGCTGGGCTAAATCAAACAGAACCTAACAGTCACTGGGCACCCTTCACCATCCTCTGGCATTCCTGAAAAGGACAACTCTCAGTTGTCAGACAGTGGCATGGTGGGAGCCCTAATCTTAAAGTTTGGGTCAAGGGCTTGCCCCTCAGATCACGTAATCCCTAAAGGCAGGAGCTTTCTATTTGTCAGCTCCATCTCCTGCATTAGGACATATTGTTTGGAATGCCCCGGCTCCGCTCTTCTCTGGTATACTGGCAATGTGAGGAGTTAAATTAGAAGTACCCATCAGAACACATTAACGTTCTCATCAGCGCTTTTAGTCACAGCCATTCTCCTCCAGTCCAGGGGCTATCAGAAGAGGGGTTTTACAGCCAGCTTTTGTCCCTGCCTCCCAGAGTACATTTGCTAATTCTTCCTTTATTTCCGATGCAAGGACTTGGGTGAGCTGTTACATTAGAGCCGTAGTATCATTCCTCTAGGGCATGAGACAAAGGCATACAGCTTCCCATCTCACTCGCTCCCTTCCCCGCTGCCTTCTCCTGGCAAAGCATGGTATTATCCATCTCTGCCTCACAAAGCAGGCTGCAGACTAGTGGTTCTGTGTGAGGTAGAGAGGGAGGAAAAAGAGGCCGGGACTGAGTCAATTATGTTTGCTTTGTGGGGACTTGATTCATTTTCTGGGTGTCCTCTCAGAGAGACACACCCGTGGAGCGGACACTACTTTGACTACCAACACCCAGCTGGCTAATTGAAAACTTTAAAATATTGATTCTGCAGCTTCGCTTACTGTCTTTCTTGATGTTCTTCTACAAACATCCCTTTGTTCTTCAGATCAAACAGCCCCTGATTTACTATTTTAGGATACTCTGCTGCAGTCTAACACCTGAAAAAAGTGTAATTTATGTGACCATATCAGGTACCTCGATATTAAATACATATGTAAGCAATAACACCTGGCCAGATGTGCAGTGTTACCAATACCTGCATAATGTGGGTAGATTGTGCAATATGAGGCTGAAGATCAAAGACCCTTTAACCGCTTGAGAACGGCAGGTATTTACTATAATGAAACTTCTTGAACTAGGTTATTGCTTTGCTTTGTTGTTATTTCTGGAGCAGGGAAAGAGCTGGTGTTGACTACCTTTCTGTAACAAACTAATGAGCCCTGGCCTTTGTGGTTATTCCCAGTGACAGCTTGGCTACAACATTCATCAGCTGATTAGAGTCCTCCTTTGGTAATGCTAATTTAGCCATCCATTGAAATGAAAGGGATTCATGTGTATGCATTCCAGGGCAGAACTTTGTCTATAGTATGTGTGTGTGGGACATAGGACAGTAGCAGAATCTCAGATCTGAAGCCTTTGAGAGTTTGAGGGAGAAGTGGGTGGATCCTCACATATTAACCCACTGCCTAGGGCTTTGGTTCTAGGTTGGATCCAGAACTGGGAGAGGTCTCTGGTATTTTCTGGTTTCTGTTTGGATGTAGCAAAATCTTGCGAGAACAGTCGCTGATGAGATTTTTGCTGAAGATGGTGGAAGTCTTACTACAACTGCTGATCTCACTAGATTTACGTCTTCCGAGATGGGCAAAATATCAGGATATCAGCAGAGCTGGCTTCATTTATTTTTCTTAAAACAAAAAATGGCCCTTTTTAGAAAACAAAGAAATTCACAAAAAGCTGGTGACTTTTTTAAGCTTGTCTTCTTTTGCAAAATTTTTCACAACACTTTATCAAAAGCATTATCCAAATATTTTTATGTATTGAAAACTGGTTTTGATGAAAATAGATTAAAATGTTTTGCAAAAACAAAACAAAATACATTTTAAAAATCCCAGACAATGAAAAAAATAGGTCTGTTTTGAATGCTGCAAAACAGAAACAACTTAGACATTTTGAAATTGTTTGCAAAAACAATTTGTTAAGATTTTTATCCAGCTGATATTATCATAGGCGATAGTTTGGGTCAACGTTCTTGCAAGAACAGCTTATGAGATTTTGCAACTGTTGATTTCTAATACACCACCTAGGCATGATTTGCCTTGTAGATGCATCTGAACTCAACCTAAACCTAAGTAAACTGAATTTGAATATATAGAACAGAGCAAACTGTCCCATTCACACATTATGTACATTCTGCAAAATGTTCCTTAGCTTTAGTTCCACGTTTTGCTCATATTTGAGGTGCAGAGGGCCCACTTTCTGGTGTATCATTGGGTTAAAGGCTTTTGATGGCATTTTCAGCCTCTTCCTTGGCTGCTGCAGAATGAAAAGGTGAACAAGTTCCCATGTCTAACCCTGCAGCTTTTGGCATGCAATGCAATCAGCAACAAATGATGAGGTAGGAAATTGATATTATGAGGAACAGGAAATTTGTTTAATATTTAATCCTCAATCATCTCTGCATTTCTACTGACTTTTCCAGTCACTTCCATTTTTTTTTTGGTCACATCAGGCTCCTTATTAATATCATATGAGATGATGAGTCTACTTACTGCATTGAGCAGAGCAATAAACAGCAAGGCAGATAGGAAGAATGGCTTAGTAACTAGGGAACAAGATAAGGACTCAGAGGACCTGGGTTCAATGCCTGACTCTTGGGCCAGTCATTTAATTGAACTTAGCCTCAGTCCCACTTCTATAGACTGGGATTAATATTTTCCTGCCTCTCAGGGGTGGTGTGGGGGATAAAAGTCTCTGACTCATTACCAGGTGCTCAGATACAACAGTGGAGAACCTAGCTACTCAGACTCTGGAGTGACAGGATTCGAAAGAGGACAGCCTTCTGTTCACTCGTTTCCTCTTTTCACACAAAACCCACAGCCGCCTAAATTCTGCACAGCCGCCTAAATTCTGAACAGGGAAAGAAACTGGAAATGGTTAAATTGTGCTGTTAAAATAGTAAGCCCTGACTCTTGTTTATTAAAGAAATAAGGTGGGGGAGGTGATAGCTTTGATTGGACTGACTTCCGTTGATTGAAAAGGCAAGCTTTTGATCTTACACAGAGCAATTCCTCAGGTCTGGGAAAGGTACTCAGAGGGTCCCAGTGGAACAGATTGTTAAACTTAAGGAGTTAACACATGTTGCAAGAGACCATTCAAGGTGAAGTGGGCAGCTAACACCTCTGCAGATGCAGGACAAAGAGGGTTAGTGTGTTATACAGATTGTTATAATGAGCCATAAATCCAGTGTCTCTTACTGAGTCCATGATTTTTAATGTCTAGCACAGTTATGAATGTAAGCTCCCAGGCTTGTCTTTTGAAGGTGTTGTGCAGGTTTCCTTTGAGGATGAGGAAGGAGATCAGATATGGAGTGTGCACCTTTCCCAGACCTGAAGAAAAGCTCTGTGGAGCTTGAAAGCTTGTCTCTTTCTCCAACAGAAGTTGGTCCAATAAAAGATATTCCCTCACCCGCCTTGTCTCTCTGATATCCTGGGACCAACACGGCTACAGCTACACTGCAAACAACAATGGAAGATCCGTCTTTCACGATGTCACCTTCAGGTGCCTAGACAGATACTTGAACATAAGATCTCGCCTTACAGTTTATTTTAAAAGACTGCTGTGACATCCTGACAAAGCCCCTAGCCCTTCTCAGAACCCGTCAGCTTAAAGAGATTGTGGCTAAGGAGCTCCTCCCAGGTGTTGGTTAGCAGAGGGCCAGGAAGAAAGTCGGCTGATTAGAGCCGGTCTTAGCATTCTGGGGTGGGAGTGTGAAGCAGTTTTTGCTGCTGCCTCTCCTCATGCTCCCCATGGCTGCCTGAGCAGGGAAATGGGAGAGAAACTTACTTAAAGAAAGAAAAGTAGCTGAAATTTTCCTTTAAATCAGGGATGTCAAAGCCCTCATGGGACCCAAAGACCAACTTTGCCTGTCAAAAGACAGTCCCCCTGCAGTGTAAGCTAGGGTTTTAAATGGCCTGGGCTTTGGGTGCAGACAGATCAGAGCTGGGCCCAGCACCCTACCCTACAGAGGCATGACTCTGGCTTGATTCATAGAGGTAGGGGTCTCGTGCAGAGTTCGGATCTGGGGGTTGATTCCAAACCCCTGGGCCCTGAAATGGTATTTGGATCAAGGGGTTTGGCTGAAGGCTCCCCTCTAGCTCTGAGTGTGGTGTTAGCTACAGGTGAGGACTGAGCTGTCTTGAGGGAGAGGTGTTGGGGAAACGTGAATCACATTCGGCTAGTTCTGTTAATAAACCAAACCACCTGTATGCAACAACCACCAAAAGTCTTTACTCATCATCAGCATTTTTCAATTAGTACCAGCTGGAGAGGGAGCATCTACTGTACCTGTGATAGCGTGATGGGAAAAGGCCTCCACATAGATGAGATAGTTATGGGGACAGTGTTTCTTTAGCCATCTGCACACATCCTGTTGGGTCCATAACACCACCGGCTTGGTAAGGCTGCCTAGCGTGGGGCTGGTATGGTAAATGCCATAGTGATCACAGGGACGACTCTACAGAGGTTTGGAAGCAGGAAACAGAGAAAGGGGAGGGTGTTAATGGACTTCAGTACCACCAGGAAGAAAAAACTCAGCCATGGGATGAACAGAGGCCAGGCTGAAACATCTCTGGAGAAGAGAGGTGCTTGGATAGTCTGGAAGGGAGAACCCCACAGTCGGTAGCAGGAATGCCTGCATAACATTGCCCAAGATACTTTGTAAGATCATCCTAACCCTCCTAATGGTCTTTTTCTTATTGGCGTGTCCAGAAGCAGCCACAGGCGAGTTGTAGGAAACCATGCATGGACGGAAGCATGCATGAAGGGAGAGAGGAGAACTCGGATCCATGGCAAGCCTGTTGACCACACCCCAGCTGCATATTCTACTCCTGCATTGTCCTGTCTTTCCCAGAAAGCAGGCATTCAGAAAGGATGCTGCATTGCATGGGCATGCTATGACTGCTGCTTACTGTACTAATCAGGATAATTTCCCTGTCAGTCTGTCCTCCCCACATCTGCTCTCTCCACCCATTACCTCATCCTGTGTTTAGACTGTAAGCTGTGTGGGACAGGGACCATCTTTCTCTCTTTGTATGCACAGTGGCTAGCACAACAGGGTGCAGAACAGGGCTCCTAGGTTGCCTACATACAGACTAATACTAACAATATGGCAACATTTGTCTCAGAAGCATTGTCGCTCATGGTACTGCCCTGACTGAGAGGTACTGCCAGGAGCAATGCAAACACCGCGTGTCTTCGTTCAGTGCACAGGCAGATAGCACCTGTGCTCAGCTGCTTGCCAGTAAGCACCTTCACAACTTACTGCTGCTTTTCAAACAGTCAAGGCCCAGCTGCACCTATATTTAAAAAAAAGTCTTTGCAAGAGCACTCCAGCAACATGCTCGGAGCTGCATGGGCAAACGGGGTAAATGCACCTGCACGTGGCGAGTGAGGCGTGACCCAGCCTCGTTAGCCCTCGGAGGTGCACTCGTCCGATTTGCACCCATAATCACGGAGGCTCTTTCGCCAGAGCGTTTCTTGAACAAGAGCCTCCGAGAGGAGAGAAAAGCGCAGGCAGGCTCCCAAGAGTAACTGCAACCTGAGCCCCACAAAGCCTATCAAGCCAATACTCTGACCTCCCCCAAACAAATAACTCTGTCATCTCTCTTCCCTCCATATCCACCAGTCCCAGCACCTTCCCCTGCAGGCTGCCAATCACTATCAGTGGTGAGGATTGTTTGCGGGAGGCACCTGTCCAGAGAGGATGGGGCTGAGACCCGCCCAACTCCTGACACAGGGTGCAGACAGTTTATCATCAGCATCGACCTCTGGTGGATGAAAACCAGCAACCCAGGGCCTAAAGGCGATCTCTCCAATTGCCGGTCCTTGAGCCACCTGTGACGGGTTTCCCCTGGGATGCTATCTGGAACTGGAGTACTACTGAGCCCTCTGACCCACCAGCCTGGGCTTCCTCTCACACTGTGCTGCTGTGACAAATTGCAAAGCCCTCCAAGCTTTGCACTTTCACCAGTATTTACACAGGTAGGGACATGCCCAGCTGCAGTCACATGCAGGCTCTCTAACTACCAGCTTGCCCGCCTAGGACTCAGAGCAGTACCGTCCTGCCTTGGTCAAACCTGGCCAAATCTGGTTTAATACCCGGTCCGCCTCGCCCTCAACGTGAAGAAGACCGTGCACACTTTTGGTAACCAAACGGAGATTTTTCCCAGATACCTTAGTCAAATGCAAAATGGTTTGGATTAAACCATAAAATAAGTTTATTAACTACAAAAGGATAGATTTTAAGTGATAGCCAACAGATCAAAGCAGATTACCTAGTAAATAAACAAAACCACAAACTGGGTTTAACATACTAGATAGGTAGGATATGAATTAGCAAATTTTCACCCTGAGTGATAAACAGGTTGGCAGATTCTTAAGGCACAAGCTGTCTTGGCTTTGCTGGCTGGGTTTCCCAGGTTTTCATACATAGGCTAGAAATCCCTTTAGCCTGGGACCTCACTTCCCCCAGTTCAGTCTTTGTTCCTCAGGTGTTTCCAGGTGTGTTGTTGTAGGGAGAGTGAGATACCATCACAATGTCATTTCCCCCTTTTTATATCTTCTTCCCCTTGCTGGAAAGCTTTTTTGCTGTGACCTGGGTCAGACAGTTCCCATTGGGTAGTGCTATCTCTGAGAGGTTTCTATTGTGCCCAGTTTCTGGGGTACTCCTTGTGCTTGTGTGCATTTCCTCAATAAGCCATTAACATTGTTTGGCCTTTTTATTGTTGTACGTGAAAGGCTGCTTGTGGGTGTTTTCAATCTCCAACATATTTTGGTAACACACACATAGCCAAACTCCATAACTTCACATATGATGATAACACATACAATCCAATGAGATATCACTGTCCAGCAGACAAGACTTTGAGAATGATACCTCACAAGGCATACTTTGTACAAAACACATCCTAATTACCTGACAATGGTGAATAAGGGGGTGCCAGGATGTCACACCACCCACTCCCCTGCTGTGTGTGATTTAATGCCGGCATGGCTGCTGCATCTTCCCCTGGATAAACAGGAGAGCTCCATCTTTTTGAATTCTCATTTCATCTCTGTGACGGGGGCTTGATGGGGGTGCGGGGGATGGAAGGGGGTCTGTCACGGGCTATTTCCTTCCCTTTCACAGAAGAGCGTATGTGACGTTCCCGGGAACCGTTCTGTGAAGATGCCCCAGCCAGCCGTGACTTTGCTAGTTAGGAATCCAATTACAACGAATGCTCAGGGTCGTTACGCACTAATGCACAGGCCAGAAAGCACTTATTTATTCCTTCCCCCTGCCTCCACCTGCCCTGAAAGCCTCAGTCACACATAGTACTAGGAGATTGTAGCTCCTTCCTCAGCATTACGGCCGTGGGTCCGACATGACCCTTTCTATTCTGAGCCGTGCCCATCAGCACTTCAGGGGGGTCTGTGTAGAGCAGCCCTCAGCTGCCAACAGTGCCTGTACCAGGAGAATTTCCCCCCGGCCATCTTAGAAGTGTTTAAGGCCTCAGTACACCACTACATCATACAGGGGCTATAAGGCGCGGGAGAATCCCTCCCGAGATCTTTTGGGGGAATTTTGGGAAAATAGCTCAGATGTGTGTGGGCACATGCATGAGTGTTGGTGCTGTGTGTACAGGAGGGAAAGATTTTCCAAGAATCTGAATAGCAACTGAATAGCCTAAATACACACTCCATTTGTGTGCACTGTTACCATGATTTTTGTGAGCGCAAATTGGGGAACTGCACACACTAGTTACCAGAACTGGCATTTGCACATGCAGTTACCCACTTTGCATGAGGTTACATTAACGGCACGCATAACGTAGACGTACGCTTTGAGACCCTTCAGAAATCTGGCCCAGGAGTCACAAAGAGTTTCTGTTGGATATCCCATGACTCACGGAAACTAATGCAACAAGACATATTCAAAAGGTTCATATTCCGGGGAGGTGAGTAAGGAGGGGAAGGACTTTGGGCTTTAACATTTTCTCTCCAACACCCGACATGTTTTCTGATGAAGGTCTGACCTAGTGGTTTGAGCACAGGAGTGGGAGCCAGAGAATTCAGAGTCTTAATCCTGACTCTGATTTGGATTCCTGCTGTGGCCTTGAGCAAATCACTTAACTTCTCTGTGTCTTGGTGACAACAATGGTCACAACCCTTACTCCCTCAAAGGGGTGTTGGGAGAATGAATTCACTGGGGGTAGGAATTAGCAAAGATGCAAAATGCTATTTAAAACACCCAGGATTCGGTTCCATGTGTTAAGCAAGTTGCTCATTTAAGTGCCACGCACATCTTTGCATGTCTCTTCCCCATCGTGGAGGACTCACAAGATTATGATCTTACATGGGCAAATCTTCCAGTGAGCTCAACGGCACCATGGGCAGGAAGGAGATTGTTACCTGCCTGTATGGAGCCTTTCCTCATTATGGCCAAAATCAGCCTGAGTCCCCACAGTTCATTCCCATTCATGCACCATGGAACACCAGGGGCTGGTTCTAATGCAGAACACCACTATTTGCCCACAGATATCAAAGTAACAAGCAATGATGGGAAAAGGAAAACAAAGTGCCCGAGCATAACAATGGCTCTTTAAAACCAAACAAAGAAACAATGCTGAGACCACAGCACCACTTATCCAAATAACCCACCCACGGGGTAATAGGCACTTAGGAACCCGTAATTTCCCCAGACAGGAGTGAGCCATGCAAAACTCTTGGTGGTTGAGCACGTTTTCACAAATTGGCAAGCTGTCTGAAATCACCTCTCCCCCTAATTGGCTGAGATTACACCTCGTTGCCTTGAACGTGACCGCTAAGCCAAACAGATGCAGCCTTGCACCTGGAAACTCTTTCAGAGCATATAATAAAATATTTCCTTTGCTCGCTCCAGATCAGAATCTTTCAAATCTCCTTTCCCCACCCCAGTGATCTTCAGACTCTCTCTGCTGGCCTGGGCAGCTGCAGTTCTGAGCAGTAAAGTCACAGTGGGACTTCCTCAAGCTATAGTTGGGGTCCAGAGAACCAGGCTCTAAGGGTGGGAACAGCACACCCCGAACCCTATTCATCTGCAGGTTCTCTCTCTTGTTATTCCTGCTCAGCTGGAAGCTCAGCATGAGTCCCTGGGCTCCTGAAGGTGGTAAATGGGGAAGTGTAATGAATCAATGGCTCCTCTTCCAGCTGGCTGAACTAAACTGTCTCTCTGATAAACTCACAGCCATGAATATCAAACACTAGTGTTTCAGGGACCGAGGTAGAGGCTGCCTTAAAGGCTGTTCTACTGGGAAGAGACCAAGGAACCATCTGCAAGGTATGATGCCTTTTAATGTCCTCCTTCTATGGGTCACATGTGAAAGGGCTACGAGGCAAGGGTTTTGAATACAGTGAAATCGCTTTGCATTAATTCACCAGGCTTTTCTTCATTAGCTTCTCTTGCTTGCAGGGACAGCAAAAGTTGAAACCTCTCTCACCTTGAATCCCTGCTTTGGGGACTTGGAGTCAGCCAGCAGGGAGAGAAGACAAGCTTCAAAGCAGTTAGTATTAAAAACCAAGTGGATGCCCTGGCCCATTTCTGATGGGACTGTGTGACAGGGGCAGCAGCTTTGCTTCCTAGTCCCCAGTGAACCAGGACTCAACCCCAGCTCCACTTCCCCATCACTTTGCACAGGTGCTCAAGGAAAGGGGTACAAGGATGGCTGCTTGGGACAGAGTTGGGAAAGTCAGGGGATGCACCCAGGGCTCATAGGGCAGGGCTGCAGCCCTAGCTGCTGCCTGGTCCTTTTCTGATGGTAAGTCACTTTAATTTTCCTCTCTCCTAGCAAGAGACCTTGCTGACCACAGCTGCATTTCTCCACTGAGCCACTGCCCCAGCTGACAGTCTGTGGGTCACCACTACTCAGGGACCCAGAGGTGGATCACCACAGGGAGAGAGTGAGATCTACTTTTTTTTTCTAATCCCAGAGAAAAATGCCCTCCAGGGAGCATCTCCGGAGGCCACCCTGGGTTCACTGCAGGGACTAAAATAAAACCACCCATGCTGCAGCCATCAGACCCGTCTCTAGCTCGGTCACTGCAGAGCTCCAGCTGGATGGGCTGGAGATTTTCTCATCAAGACCCTGTTAATCTCACCCAATGCTTGAGACCTTTGCCTGTCCCCTATGAGCAAATTACATTTCCATCAGGGGAAAGGAGCCTGCCAGTCCATGGATGCAGCCGTGGGTCCTGAGCAGAGTGGTCACTGTTGGGCAGGATGGGTCAGCTACCTGCGTGGATTCTCTTTGTCCACAGAATGGGCTCAGCACAGACTGCAGCAGGGCAGCTTCCTCAGGCTGGCCTGCCCGTCCGTGGAGACTCAGCCCTGCTGCCTGGGAGGCTGAAACGGGAGTTTAAGCTCCATGGGTCACCTAGGGTTTATGGACACAGAGACTTAGTGCGTGGCAAGCTGAGGCTGTGTGAATTTGCTGCGCACTGACCGGCCAGGTGGTCCCTGCTCTTGGGCACTAAAAGTCCCCTAGCGTACATTCACCAACTCCCACGTCAAGCAGCAGCGGGTCAAAGTGCCCTAAGGACCTTTCAGTGCATGGCAGTAGGGTCCGCGCAGCCAGTTAGCGTGCTGGAGATCCACACCCCTGCTTCCCAGGCACTAAGCCGCCTTATGGACAAGCCTTTAGCCCTTGACTTCTCTGCCAACACTGCCAAGTGGAAGTGGGCCCTTTTAGTACAAACTGGATTGTGGGCACTTGACTGAAACCCACCAAACTCATGTCACAAAGGGGAGGGAGCCACTGAACTGTCCCCCCTGCACTCACAGTGCGTACTGAACGCCGGGGAAAGGAAATTAAACTTCAGCGGCACCCTGGCCAGGAGGAGGCAGGATGAACACGCAGCTGGAATGAGATATTGCAAGTTTAAAGCCAGACACGCACACTGCATATTCTCTTAGGGTCTGATTCAAAGTCAATGGCAAGGCTCTCCAGTTCTTCAATGGTCCTCAAGCACCAACCTTTTGTAGTGATAACCACCCATTTTTTCATGGTTTGTGTGTATAAAAAGATCTTCTGTACTTTCCACAGTATGCATCCGATGAAGTGAGCTGTAGCTCACGAAAGCTTATGCATTTATTTAAATGTTAGTCTCTAAGGTGCCACAAGTACTCCTTTTCTTTTTGTGAATACAGACTAACACGGCTATTACTCTGAAGCCCGGTTGTAGTTGGTGGGGTTGGTTTCTAATGCTGCAGAATTAAATCAGAGGCCGAGACATTCAGCACAGAGAGAGACACGGTCCTCGTCTCTGCACAGAGAGACGCTGAGCTGGAGACACAAAGCGAAATGCTTCTGGCACCCTTAACTCAGCCTCTGATGAACAGGAGTTTGCACTGGAAATGAAAGAACCGATGATGCAGAATTGCTGATGTCAGCACCTTTTGCCTCCCTCCCTGGAAATACTCCAGTGACGAGGCAGCACTGACTAGTGCCTTATCGTTAATAGCTTGTAATAACAAATACAATGTCCCTGTGGGTTCACCTGCCGACTTCCTGCCACAACAGGCCAATCAGGACTGTAGTGAGACCTTTGACGATGAAAGAACAGCAGGTGCCCCCAGTCCTGGCTGGACCAAAATGCAGTGAGCTGTCCCATGGCAGCTTTGTGGAGAAAGAACGCCGGGGCAGTCACTGCAGAGATGGGGCCAGAACCAAACCCCCGGACTTTGGGGGAGTTCGGTCCAGACTCTGTAGCTCAGGCTCATCTCTGCTGCAGAGATCTAGCATTACACCCCCTCGGCTTCAGTGGCAGGTACTGAATGCCGTGCACAAAGCAGGCTTTAGGGCCAGTCTAGACTGCAGTTGGAGGTGTGTGATTGCAGCTCTCTCCTGCACTACTTTTAATCTAGTTAGCACGGGTACTAATAGCAGCGAAGACATGGCAGCTCAGGCCGTCCAAGCCGGCCTGGAACCCTGGGGACATACTTGCATACTTGCATTCCTAGCTTGGGTGGCTGTGTCTTCACGGCTATTGTATCCATCCTACTTAGACTGAAGCTAGGGCGGGTATGTCTACCTGAGCGGCAATCACACCTCCAATTGCACTATCGACATACCCAAAGGGGACGCTGCAGCACGGTCTGTACAACAGAGAGCCCATGCTCACTCCAGGTCACCACGTCTGCTCAGTGCAGGACACCAGCATGCACTCTGCTGATGCACCCACGTGCCACTGAACTCCAGTGGCAGGTGCAGCCTGACTAATCAAAGTACCTCTTCTCTTTTCAGTTTCAAAGCCCTGCAAAAAAAGAGAATTAACAATGCTTGCGGGGGAAAGGGGAGGCAAGTTCCACTCCCCACCCCTACTCCTTCCACAAGGTGGGTTTTTTTAAAATCTCCTTTCAATAATCATCTCTTAAATTCTGCAGGTTATGAAGTCATCATGAGAACGTAAAGCAAAACCAAGAGCCTGCTCTTGAGAGGTTCTGAGCTCCGCGGGAGAGACACTCCCCTTAAAATCAGTCAGTTTGGAGGGTTCTCACCACATTACAGGACCAGTCTGGGAGAACAGGCCTTCTCTTTCCCTGCTAGGCAGGCAAAAGGAGCATGAGGTCGGAGATCAGAGCAAGCCAGAGCCTATGACTCTGACACCTCATGCACTGCCAGAGGGTGGGGGTTAGGGGGACAGCATGCTGGAAATATGCTGGAATGGCCCCCTCTAACACAAAGGGCCATTCAGCAGTGCACACAGACATGGCTAGCGTCCCATAAGAGGCGAGGAACGTACACTCCTGATAGGCGGGTACCTGTGAGCCTTCGGTTCCCGGCTGCTGTAGGAGCTTGACGGTCCTGCCTCCTGCTGACCTCTGACTCCGCCCGTCGTGCCAGGTGAGGCTGCTGCCCGTGTTCCGCTGCAGACGGTAGTTGAGGTTTTCGGCCGACACCGTGTGCTCCAGGAGGTTCCGGCAGAAGCTGAAGTGCGCGGCTGCGGCTGGGGAGGAGAACGATTATATCAGAAAGACAACAAACATACCCCATGCACCAGCGTCCTCCCACAGCTGCCCAGATTGCACTATGTGCTGCTGCTCAAGAGACAGGACTGAGTCCACGTCCTCCAGTCTTCTTCTCTGCCCCTGAGGCCGAAGGATCTGGGAAGGATGGGGAAGTGCACCACATTGGCAAAGCCTGTGTTGCTTTCCCCTCTGGTGGCTGGTCCACTAGAGGACAACAGCCTACTACTGCTACCTGCTCTTAGCTGATGTGGCAGAAGTCTGTTCTACACATCACAGAGGCAAAACTCCATTGAGCAACCATGCAGGAGAGGGCTGTTGCTATGGCAGCGCTTGCGGCCAGGAGAAGGGCTTGCTGGGAGGACAGGGGGTATTTTCCAATAAGAAGCAGGTGAGGCCATTCTAAAGGAAGGAAGCTTGTCTGTGGGCTGCCCAAGGAGCAGCTGCAGCATGTCAGCAATCCCATGTCTTCTGAAGGAGCAGGAAATCAGCCCCAGTTCTCAGTGACCAGCTTTGGCTGGTCTCAGGCACTTAAACGCACAATGACACCCTATGGGGCCACAGCCGCTGACGAGGACCCACGCACCCGGGCTGCAGGAGCTCCGACCGCAAATCCCAGTTCTGTTAGGAAATGGGCTGGCTCTGGAGCCCGTCTCCCACTGGCATGTGGGATGCTAAGCCCCTCACTCAGCTGCGCTTGGTGTGGACACAGGTGCTGCATTGGCGCTGATTCTGGAGGCTTTGACATAGAGCCCCCCCCACACACACACACAGCCTAGGGCTGGCTAACTGGGTCCCCTGGGCCTGAAACCGCCACACACAGGCAATACAATTACATATAGTGTCCCAGCAAATGAAGGCTTATTGGAGGGGAGTTTGCCTCAAGCAGCCATGTGACCCGCTAGGACCCGTTAACCCTTTAGAGGCGACAGGGCCTTAAACTCCTGGCACTGGCCTTCTGGTCCGTGGGGCTCCATACTGTGATGGGAGGTGCAAAGAGGAGGTTGAACAAAGAGCTGCTTCCCTTGCCAGTCCTGGGGGAGGTGCAGTGGGGAGCTCTGAGTGTGCACAGGACCCTCCGGCTGTGGCTTGAGCTTTAGGCTGGCCAGGCCTGCCCCTCTCCTGTGTGGGGGGAGGGGATCGAGTGCCTTTTTTGCCGTATGGCTCCCCGAACACTTCTCCAGTCCGGGCACTGCCAGCAAAGACGTACCTTACCATGAAGAAATGCCTGAGAGCTCTGCAGTGAGAAGCCCACATGCCAGGGCTCGGAGCGGGGCAGGCTCAGTGTCTCGGACCGTTGCTGGGCAATCCTGGCGCCTTTTCCAGGGGCATTTCAGCACCAAAAATGCTGAGGAGGCAACATCCCAGGGGCTGCGTGCTGGGCTCGTGAGCCGTGGAAACCACGCTCCAGTTCAGAGGGGCAGAAAGTAAAAATAGGAGGACGGAAAGAGGGAGGTGTCGGGGGGGGGTGTCCAACAGCCATACACCTCTGCTCTCGAAACTGCCAGACAGGGTCTGTGTAACCCAGGATCCAATGCTCAGTGCTATGACCGTTCCCAGAGCCGGACTTGAGGAGGGCTGGGGGCCTGGTGGGTAGAGCAGGACGAGCCTGTGTTGTCTGGCTCGATGGAGGCTCGCGAGTGACGGGGGAGCTGCCTCTTGCCACCTCGCGCCTGTGAAACCATCCTGTCTGCTCAGATGGCTGCTGTTACCATGGCAACAGATTCTGCGACCTGAGTAACAGTGGGTCTGCGCTGTGGGCATTCCCGGCACTACCCCAGTCCTGCTGCGAACCCCCCCTCTCTCCCCCCGGACCCCAACCACTTGATGCCAGTCCCCACAGCCCCTCCCTTCCCACAGCCCAGCCCAGTTTTCCTTCAAAGGAAAACAAACACCTGATGGAGGAACCTGTGCAGAGATTTTGGCTATGATGGAAGGCCTCAAGCTTCTCATCACTGGTGAGCCAGCAAAAGGCTGTGAGCAGCAGGCTGAAGCCCCTTGACCTGAAGGAATGGCAGGTGCGGTCTGAGAGTGCGCTGGCTCTGGGTACCTGGGCACAGGCTTTAGGGATGTATCGTCTGAGGGTGCTCATGCATGGGGCTGTACGTACCCCGACTCTGGGTGCATGGTGGATTTGCCTGAAGCATAGAGATTATCATAGCCGAAGGTCGCGATACAAACTGCAAAGGCACAGCCTTCAGGATGAGGTTAAAGCCATGGGCCTGAGTGACGCCGCATGGCCTCTCGTGATCCCTTGGCACTGGTTGTTAGGAGTAGGGACATAAAGCACGATCCTTTGGCCAAATGCCAACACGGATTTTTATATTCTACTTCCCTGAAACACCTCCCCCGACTGCAATTTCAAGTGACTACAGGATCCTTTTGTGCTCCCTGCCCTAAGCTGTTGTGCAACATTTCAGCGTCCATGCGACCTCTGAGGTGGCTGCATTTCAGCAGTCAGTGAGGTGATTCCTCAACTGAGGCACTTTGAAATTCTTGGCCGATGGCGCTAGAGAAGTGACAAACATTACTCTTCTTCTTGGCTCAGCCCCTAACCCGTGCTCTTGTTAACAACACCAGGAGACTTTGGGGATAGCAATGACCCATTCCCAGGCTGGGTCATACCCTGAATGCTGTTTAAATGTCTTCCTGCCCTCACCATTCTCCTGTTTTCTTTTCAAAGAGACGTGAACAGCCCGCAACGACAATTTCTTAGGCCAGCTTGCTCTGATGAAATGAACAGAGCTGCCCGAGACATTTGCCCACACAGTGCTAGCACCCGCGAATCTTGCTTTGACACCAATATTCCAGCCAGCGAGACACACAGGATCTGATTCACCAATTTGCTACACCAGTTTTATGCCAGTGTGAATCCACTGGGCCGGGTCCTCAAATGCTGTATATTGGGGTCGTTCCACTGACTTCAACAATGCTACAGTTTGCCAATTTATGAGAGCTGAGTATCTGGCCCATTGCCTCCATAGAGTGAGACTGGTGTTATGGAGTGGTCAATCCATCCCCTGGAGATCTTTGATAAAATTCCATCCACGCCCTCCTATCCCCAGACAATTTAGGGGTAAAGGAGATTTCTTGAGATTATAATGAAGCCCAGCAGATCCTGCCCATTTCCTCTTCCAAATCCTTATGAGACACCAATCAGAGCGTTTACAGAAATGCCCGTGTGTCTGTGAATGTGTGATCACTTACACAGCTCTGAGTACATGCACACATGTGAACTTTGAACAGATACACGCAAATGTGAATTCACATCCAGCATATGTGTGTGCGTGTGTGTGCATGCACTGGGAACACGAGTACATGCACACAAGGGTGTATTTGCATGTGTGGGTGAATAACCACATGTAGGTGCGCGAGCTTGCCCACATCTGCACATGCACGACCATGGTGAGAAAGAAAAGTAATTGTGCTCATTCGATATTGACCGTTTGGTTGCTCAGAAGCTTGGGCTATTCCGTTTGTTCCAATTAAAATGTAACATTTTCCTTTGGGGGGAAAGAAAATGAATCCTTCTGTAAGAATAAAGTATCAGTACAAGAGACACATGCTCATCTATTCTAGATGAAAGGTGGGAGGCTTGGCATAAGCCACGTGGATCCCACAAAGCAGGGACTAAGATCTCGCTGTTTAGACTACAACGAACAATCTGAAGCCACACACAGAGAAGCCTCTTTCTAAGGATACCTGATGCACTGTAGGAATTAAAGATTTAAAGAAAAAACATCACTATTGGGCAGTAATGTCTATAGTTGGGATCTCTAGGGGAGAGCCCTCACTTGAAAAGAAAAATCAACCCTTGTGCAACAGGAAACTGAAATCTAAGAAAATGCCCCTCACTCAAATGATACGTTGTACAGAACTAAACCTATCCAAGGAGTAGTACTGGGAGCAATGGGATCACATTCAGCAATGGAAATTTGAGAGAGAAATATCAAACATTTCCTAAGAGTGAGAGCGATTAGGCTGTGGAACGGTCTCCCAAGGGACGAGGTGGAAATGCCATCGCCTGAGACATTTTAATCTGACTTAAGGAACCTTTAGGGAACACACTGTGGAAAGCAATCTTACACTGGTCCCCAAGGGAGGAACTAAATGACCCAACAGCTCAAAAGGACCATGGGTCTCTGAAAGGGAATGTCCTCCCTTCATTAATTTTCAGAAATAGAGAAAAGCCCTCGTCAATTAATTACGACATAAACCAGCTAAGGGAATAAGGGAAAACGGAATGGGAAACTGGCCTGATCTAAGAATGGGCTTGCTAAATATATCTGCTCTCTATATGCCATGAAGGTTCTGATGACGCCCAGGGTCATGAGAGCACCTGGCATCAGAACCCTTGATATGAGATTATTGCTTGGTAAACCACTGCAGCAATTCTCTTGTGATTACTTCTTCTTTGAATATAACAAATGGAGCTGAGTCTTCCATGGAAATGCAACTGCATAGCGAAACCTGGTGCTCGGAGGCCATGCCGGTACTTAGAGAGAGCTAAGTCAGATCCGTGCAAGGGCCTAGCAACAGAGGCCACCCCACTGCAAAGAGGGGTCTGCTGGAGAAGCCAGTCACAGGTAAATACCAAAGGGAATCAGTAACTGGGAACAATGAGAAGCTCACAGGGCTGTTCTGAAGAAGTGCAGAGGTTCAGAAGTAAAGGGCTATTTCACCATTCTGATGCCAGTGCCGTGTAATGTGACTTTGACATCACAGACAGGAGGGGACCTTTTCTTAAAGAAGAGCTGAAAGGTAACTGCTGACCTCATCCACAGGTTATTAAGCGTTATAAGATGGCTGTCACAGAAGTTAAAGCCCCGCTGGTGGCTGAACATTCCAAGCCAGGGTGATAGAGGTTACCAGCTGCACTCAGAAACCCAAGAGCCAATTGACAAGAGTTTGGGGGTTTTCCCCTTTTAAAAGCGAAAGAATTATATAATAGACGTGATGCACCCACAGATGGAATGCTCGG